CCGTCTGCTGAAAAAAAGGATTTTCCGCCTTTGAGGTATCAATAAAAATAACTTATGCAATTATTATTGTAATTTCATTAATGAAGTAAATGATGATAATAATAATAATAATGGTATTGATAGACCGTTAGTTACACATGTTTTTACCCCTGTTCTTACACCGTTTGAGGTGCTGATTCTCGTGTTTTAGGCCGATTTCACGCTAGGTTGTGCTTGTTTGTGATATTTCAGGTCCTAGTACGTGAATGGAGGCTTGGGAGCGAGTTTGGGGTCGATTGGACGAAGTTCGGACGCGTGGCGAGGTTTCAAGGAAGCCGCACGGGCAGTCCGGGACATCACACGGCCGTGCAACTTGCAATTGTGGCCGTGTGATTTTTGCCGAGAGCAAACACGGGCAGGATGGAAATCTCACACGGCCATGCGACCCTGGCCGTGTGGGATGGCTGAAATGCAATTAATTGGTACGCTGCGTTTTGACTCACACGGGCAACTGGGTGAGGCACACGGCCGTGTGGCCTGCCCGTGTGAGTCGGGAAATCTTGGGTTTTCAGCCAATTTCGAGCCAAAAAGTGGAGGATCGGATTTTCAGAGCAAAAACAGAGCCCTAGAGAGAGAAAGCACGAAGAACACATCCTAGAAGCTATCTTGGAGCTGGGTTTCGTCAAATCGAGCTTGGAGATCGTCATAGGAGTGGAAATCATCATCCCGGAGCAGATTTTCCTCATCATTATGAGTATGACTACTCCTATTACTGTTTTCTTTTCTCTCTCTATGGAGTAGAACCCTTCTCTCACTTGGGTATGAAGAACCCTAGTTCCCGGTGTTAGGGATTTGATTGTAATGACTTGGGATGATTATACTGTTTGGTTTTAATCGAATGATGCATGTTTATTGAATTGATTGAAGTCTGATCAGCTTTTCTTGATTTCTGCTGCAACCTGAGATAGATAGAATCTGATTAGGTTGTTAGAGCCTCTTCATTCGGTAGTAGGAGATTGGTTATACGAGAGTTAGCCAGTTTACTGCTTTGTACTGGAATTCAATTCCAGTAGTGGAGTTCTGTGCTTATTGCTTCAGCTTTCTATTCCGGTAGGACTAGTCGTCTGCCGGGTAGTTAGACTGAGAGGGCTTGGTCAGCTTAAGAGATTCCAAGCTACTGTCGGATCTTCCGCAGTCTAATCAACAGTAAATCAACCCAGGGAAATTACAATTGAACCTAACTAAGGGGCTAGGGGGACTCATTCCCGAGTGACTCTTTCCTGCTTGAGAAAACCGAATAATTTCCTGCTTTCTTACTGCTTTTAGTTTAAACACAAATCACTCGACTTAGTGGGCTAGATAATAGACAATCACGGAGTAAGCAGTAGATCTAGACCCCGGGTTGATAATAGAACTTGCCTGTTACTGCATTCCCGGGCTACGATTACACTTGGTCGCAGTTTGGTGTTGTGTTTTGGCGTGTCAGGTATATATATTGGGTTGTTCTATCATGCCTTGCGTAAAATCAAAGGTATGGAATACCTTGAGTAAAAAAATGATATCTAGACCTTGAATTGATCGGAGTTTGACATCTGGTACTATTCTCAAACCTTTAAAGATTAAAACCTAGGTTTTAATTTTATAAATCTCATACACTAAGACAAGTTTAATTAGAAACAAAAAATCGACGGTCATGATTCATCAAAATATATCAACAAATTACATGCAAAATTTTGGGGGGTTAGGCTCTATGATTTAGATAACTAAGACCTAAGGTTCACTCATCAAGGGTTAGGGTATAGTATCATGCCCAAAAATCCTGTTAATTCGAGATCTAGATAACGTTTTTCTACTCAAGGTATGTTGTACCCTAGATTTGATTTTTACCCAATGTACGATAAAAGTATCATCATCTCATCAATTATGGTCTACATTAATGCAACTGCAAATGAAATTATATCTGTGTGGTTCTATTGCCGCCTCATCAATTTCTATAATTCAACTCCATCTTACCATCTACGATGTCGTACTATATGATATATTTCTTCATTCGTAGATGTCTACGAATATAGTGATTCGGAGGTTACAACATTATTAGCATGTTCTAACACTCCAACATATTTAACCGGGACAGAGCGGAGGAGACGGTTAATAACGAACTTGAAATGCGAAGCCTGAGCGGCCGGCGAGCGAGTCATTCCTATTCAAAGATCAGGCCTTTGTCCATGTTTTTTTTACATGGAGAATTCCTTACAAATGAAGAGATGTCAAAGTGGCTGCTTACTTCCCAAACAGACCCTCCTACATCTATATATAAACCTTGGTTTATCAAGAATAAGCAAGAAAAGTTTGAATCACTAAAATTTTAACAAAAGTTTAAACTTAACTTGTACTTGCTTAACAATCACAAAATCATCCCAAATATACAATCACAAATACTCGATTTGCAAACTACACATACATGAACAATCACAACACATAGAAATAAAGCATTCCAAGCACCCATAAGCCATAACTAATAAGGAAGTTATTGGTTGCTGCTATTCTACTTCATATAAGAAGATCCATTCAACACAACCAACTAGGGAGGCATGTTGCTGCTGTTCTCCTTCTGCAAGCTACTGTTCTACAAGCTGCCAATCTGCAGTTCCGATGACCCCCTAGCGCTTTGCAACCTGCAAAAATATACTCCATTATCAACACATTAAAGGGGAAAGCAAGATAGAAAAATTCAGCAAATGCCACTCAAAATACAAGCAGTCAAGCACCAAGGAAAAATAGATCAGAATAGAGATGTTCAGTCTAGTTGATCCTTGTGGGGGCAAGAACAAAGCTCTCGTAAGTCATTTGTCCCAACGACAACATTAAATTAGGCTTGCTGGATGGCAGTTCCGTTTACAAAGAGAGCTTGGTATGCAAATTAATAAGACCCCACATTTTCGTTTCAGTTTTATTCACATAAACCATACAAGCATCTCATTCAATGCAAACCATTTTATAAATGAAACTCAACAATGACATGTTCAAGTCTCTACCTTCTACTGACTTGTGGAAGATGAAGTTCCCCCTCTGGTGCTGGTGATTGCTGATGGCTGCGCGGTGCACCAGTGCTCTTGCCTGTCGGGGAGAGCTGGAATTGGAGAGCTGAATGGAGGCGCAACAATCAAACTAGCAGAGCTGCGCAATTTCAGGTGATGAGTGTGATTGGGTGTGACAGCGGCGACTAGGTTTCCCCTTCGACTGTGACGATGGTTACGAGTTGCGCGGTGACTGCGCCCTGTCGCGAGGAGAAGGAGAACTTAGAGGCCGAGCTAGGTCACTCATGCAGTCGTGCTCGTTTGTTGACAAGGGTCAATTAGTCAAGGGAAGGGAAAGGTCGAAATGGGTTCTGAAATTCTGGCTGGGCGGGGCCTGAAGGAAGACAATTGAAGACGGGCTTTCTTTCTTTTTATTTTGAATGGGTAACAGCGGGTACCCGTATTATCCAAATGGGTATTTGTGGGTAACCCGCGGGTACCCAAAATAGAAATGTACAATTCCAAGTCCCATCCGTTAATAATATTACAAGTAATATGAGTGCTCGTAACGCTAAAAAAGGGATGGGTTCAGATATATCCAAATACCTGTTTCTAGTTGCCCACCCCTAGCACTAGATTGGTGGTGAGTGAATGTCATCCTCATTTTGTGATGATTAGAGAGGCACACTGACATTTTTGGCATTGGATTGGAAAGTAAAGATCTCCCATGTGTTTCGTGAAGGCAATGTGAAAGGGGATTACCTGGCTTCCATGAGGCATAGCTTATCATTGGAGACTCACATTTTTGCGCAGCCTTGTACAACACTTAGTCACTGATTGTATCATGACATTATTGGGATTCAATTCCCGCGATAAGTTAATGATTAAGGGTTAGAGTGTCCTTTATTAGGGATGACAATGGGTCGGGTTGGGTCGGGTTTTGCCAAACCCAAACTCAAAGCCATGCCTTTATTCGTGAAAAAAATTCGGGATAAAACCCACTTAGTATTCACGGGTTCGTGGGTACCCATGAGTTTTTGTCGTAAAAAATTTACAATAACAAGTTCATATCAAAATAAGAGTCAAATATCAATCTCTCAATACAAATTATCCACATACAAAACTTCATTCTAGAAAATTCAAGCAAATCATAAATTAACCATACAAATTGTTCAACATAAACGCCCAATCATAAATTAACCATACGTTGGCTGCTTCTGCTGGGATGTGGTTTTTCATCTCGTTTGTGGTTGATTTTGAGCTGTTTTGTTCAATTTTCTACTGAAGACTTGAACTTTATATTACCCTGCTGCCGGCTGGATTTGAGGAGCGTGGCAGTTCATTTGGGCGTTTTCTCACCCGGATTCTTGTACTGTTTCTTTCTTTCATTTTGGCATTCTGCTGCTGTTTTGCAGTTTTCCTTTGTTTGCAGCTACTCCATTCTTGTAAGTTGTAAGGACCTGATTTGTTCTCTTGTAACTTTTATTTATTAAAACAATGTCACCCTTATAAAAAAATTTGAAACAAAATCACAAATCATCCATAAAAAAATGATTAATTGAAAACTTCTTCCTCCTTGTCAATTAAACTTCTTCACTCTCCACTCAATAATATCAACTTCATTCTACACAATTAGAAAGAAAAAAATTAGTCAGGTCTCCACAAACATAAAGAAAATTAGTTGCTTAGAATATTAAATATATCGGGAAAATTAATTATATGAGTGTGAGCAAGTATTCATGAGACGAGTATACCTAAACCCAAACCCAACAAGGTGAATAGTGAACGATTTTAAAACCAAACCCGCCCCAAAACCCGTCAACACGAATTTTACCCTCATTGACCGAGTTGGATCGGATAGGGTACCCACTGGTTCGGTTGCCATCCTTATCCACTCTGTTTATTACCCAAAAAAAATTTGGGTGCAACTTGTAAGTTGCTTTATAGTTTTTTTTTTAAAGATTAGTGACCATATTGATAATTAACCGGAAAAGGGAAGTCAGGTGGCTGTCTTTTCTCGGCCCATTTCCGCTGAGAAAGAAAGCAAAAGGAAAATACAGAATCCTCTTTCAGTCTTTACTTAGTAGGGTTTGCCGTGGTGGCGGCGGCGATCACCGAAGAGTGAGGAAGGACTAGTTTGTAGTTTCAGACTTTCAGTTGTAAGCTCCGTCATCGCTGAGTTCCGCGGTCAGCCCTTACTCTGCTCCAGTCTCGTCTGCGCAGTTCTCTCATCAGGCGGGCAGGCATGGAGGAAGTCTGTGAAGGAAAGGATTTTTCCTTCCCCAATCAGGAGGAAAAGATTCTCTCCTACTGGTCAGAAATCAAGGCGTTCGAAACTCAATTGTCCCGCACGGAATCCCTTCCGGAATACGTTTTCTACGACGGTCCTCCCTTCGCCACCGGCCTTCCTCACTACGGCCACATCCTTGCCGGAACCATTAAAGATATCGTGACTCGCTACCAGACCTCGACCGGCCACCACGTCACGCGTAGGTTTGGGTGGGACTGTCACGGCCTGCCGGTCGAGAATGAGATCGACAGGAAGCTAGGGATCAAGAGAAGGGATGAGGTTCTGAAAATGGGGATTGATAAGTACAATGAGGAGTGCAGGAGCATTGTGACTCGTTATGTTGAGGAGTGGGAGAAGGTTATCACGAGGACTGGGCGTTGGATTGATTTTAAGAATGATTACAAGACCATGGATTTGAAGTTCATGGAGAGTGTTTGGTGGGTTTTCTCGCAGCTTTGGGACAAAGGTCTCGTTTATAAAGGTTTCAAGGTTGGATAAACCCCCATGCTTGTGTTACTCTTGGGGTTATTCTTTGAAGAATATTTGAGTTCTGATCATTATAGGAACAATTCATTTCAATTTGATTGTTTGCAGGTCATGCCATATAGTACTGGTTGCAAGACTGTACTCTCGAATTTTGAAGCTGGCCAGAATTTTAAGGTTTTCCATTCACAGCTTCCTTTCTTTTCCTGATGAAATGCTATCTTCCCATTCCTGTTATTTAAACATTGCAACTTGTTGGGACACTGCAGGATGTACCTGATCCAGAGATCATGGTAGCTTTTCCTGTTGGGGGTGATCCTGATAATGCGGCCTTTGTGGCTTGGACGACTACACCGTGGACTCTCCCTAGTAATCTTGCCCTTTGCGTCAATCCTACCTTTTGATTATGTTAAGGTTAGTCCCTCGTTTTGTACGATCCTCTAGGTATTTGTTTTCAGTTAAAAGAGACTGCTTAATAGAACGCAATTTTGAAGACCAGCTCCGAGTATGTATTGGCTTTTAGACAAGTGCTCATTTCTTTGGTTTGGTGTATCAATACAAGGTGGAAGCAGTAATGTACTTCTAGGGACCTAACCTATTAGAAAAGTTTCCTACTTGACAAAACATCTGAGCATCTGTTATTTAGTACGTTGATTAGAGCTGGAAGCTGCATTAGCTGGGCATATTAGCTTATTTATCCTATGAGAAAGCCAAGTGCTTCAAGTTGCTGAAAGCCTTATTACTGAAAGCTTTTCAGCGGGTGTCCTTTTATGAAAAACATGTCATTCAATAGTTAGACTGCCAGTTAAGTACCTAATATGCAGTGGAAAACTATGTACAGGTCCGCAGCAAGTATACTGGTAAAGTGTATGTAATTGCGGAATGTCTCTTATCCTCCATTCCTGTCGAGAAGCCAAAATCAAGTGATTCAAAGACATCGAGCTCCAAGACAAAGGGTGCAAAGACGGAAAAGCCAATGGATTCATATGAATTGCTACAGAAATTTAAGGGCAGTGAACTTGTAAATAAAAAGTAAGAGTTCTGTCCTTATGCCTCTGAGTTTGGATTCTGCTTCTTGGTGGCCTGCAGTACTCGTTTAGTATAACCTTATGTTTGGAAAATTTTGCTGCTAATTGTCGAATATTAGTTGGATTCAACTGGCATCTGAGATAATTTCGGTTATAGTTTTGTTAGAGAAAGACATCTAGTTGGAACCAAACTGGATGCTGAACTTTTAGTAGAGTACTAATTGAAGAATAATAATTTTGCTTAAAAGAATTACTCTCTCCTTTGTCGAAATCTTTGCCACACATGCTTGGAACTCCCCCCCTCGCGGCGAAATGCAATTGAACTTTGGCCGAACTTGTTTTTAACCATTTTTATTCTTTAAAGAGGAGCTTCTCATTAGCGTGTGCTCTTAGCATGTTAAACCTTCATCAACCACCATATTTTTGCAGCTTTCTTATTGCTTTTACATAATAGCAGGTTAATGTAACCACTAAATAATTCTATGCAGCTTAGATGTCCTGTCTTTTTCCCCTCCAGACATTGCTTCTCTCTTCTTTGGCTGTGAGAATAACATTTCGCTGTTTTCCTTCACTTCTGAAATAAATTAAAATTGTCATACCTCATGATCAAGATCTCCGTTGCAGGTACGAACCACTGTTCAATTATTTCCAGGAGTTTTCTGACGCAGCATTCAGAGTTGTGGCTGATAATTATGTGACATCTGACCGCGGAACTGGAATTGTTCATTGTGCGCCTGCATTTGGAGAAGATGATTACCGAGTTTGTATTGAGAATAAAATAATCAATAAGGTCTGTCATCCATTTTTTCTGCATCTCACAATTTTCCTGCCCCAGAAGCTGTCCTGTGGTTAATTCTAAACTAACCAGTAGAAGGGAATTTGTTTATTTCCATCACGCGTCTCAGTAATCATAGATATATGTAATCCTCAACAAAATTAATATCAGAGATGTACTTATGTGACACGCCTTTTTTGCTTTCTCTCTCCTTTTGTTTTGTTCCCATTAACTCTAATGTAATATTCTTTGTAAAAAAAAAAACCTCTAATGTAATTTTTCCTGGATTTTAGGGCGAGAATTTGGTTGTCGCTGTTGATGATGATGGTTGCTTTACTGAGAGGATTACTGATTTCAGTGGGCGCTATGTTAAGGATGCTGACAAAGATATCATCGAGGCAGTGAAGGTGAGCCCGCCTTGCCTGACATTGATAAAAGGATACAGATTCTGAATTTTTTTCTCCTTTATGTTTGTATACAGAATCTTCTATACTGAGTCCAGTCAAAGGAGGTTATGGTTGTAGCTTTGTGGCTCTTAATTATTACTATTTCAAATAAGTTTACTCTTTCCTGACCGGCTTAAACTATCTTTAATCACCAGGAGTGGAATTAAGAATGATGTCTCCGCCTTAATGTCAATCCTCTTTGTTATGGTACTTGTGTTTGGTGCCGATTTACTGTTCATCTGCTTACAATTTCTTTAAATATTTTAGGGAAAGGGTAGGCTAGTAAAAACTGGAAGCTTTATGCACAGCTACCCTTTCTGTTGGAGGTCTGACACCCCACTTCTTTATAGAGCTGTTCCAAGCTGGTATGTGCACATTTTTCTTTCCGTCTCCTTTCCCCTTATTTTAACAATTTTTCTTTTGCATTGTGTATAAGGTTATACTGATTGTCATTTTAAATTCTTTCTGTAGGTTTGTTAGATTGGAAAAGCTGAAAGACCAACTGTTGGAAAACAACAGTCAGACATATTGGGTTCCTGATTATGTGAAGGTTAGGATCTTACCCTACCCTCTCCTTCTGAACCTAGAACACACTATTTGTCTTTGGACTGTCTGGTGAAGAATTTGAGGTTTTGTAGTAGGGCATGCTGGGGTTTTGAAATCTGCTAATCTTAGTTATCTATTCATCATATCTTTAACAACAGAAGAGTGCAAAGATTGATGGACATGATACTATGAAATTGGAGCATATCAATCTATCTATGGAATTGAATCTTGTATTAATTTATACTAATTGTGGAATAAGGTCTGCTTGTTCAAAGGATTGACTGATCGCCTTGATCTGTATGCACCGGAACGATGTTATTGGTGCATCCTAAGCATGCACATCCCATGACAACTGCTTTTCAAAGAAGCAAAGTTATGTTGTGCAGCTTGAAAATGAGCTCATTTTTCGAGTTTTTAGGCCAGTAAATCAATCGCATATGTTTTCCTGTGATTTCTAGCATGCTTCTTCAGATTCTTGGTGTTTCTCAGCACTGTTCTTAGTCCTTTCTTCTACCTACTTTGCTTCATATTCTACAGGATAAGAGATTCCACAACTGGTTAGAAAATGCACGAGACTGGGCTATTAGTCGCAGCCGGTTTTGGGGTACTCCTCTCCCTGTATGGATCAGTGGGGATGGAGAGGAAATAGTAGTAATTGATTCTGTTGCCAAGCTGGAAAAACTTTCTGGTGCTAAGGTTTGTTTTCTTTACTGGCCTTCACTGAGTGATGTACAAATAGTGTTTGTTGAACTTGCACATTGTAGTAAATATGAATGTTAAACCTTGGAAACTCAGTGTTGACTTTGAGCTAAATGGGGACAGTTGTGTCTTATGCATCCTGTTTTCTGGTCTAGTGCTTGATACACATATATGGCGAATGGGGCTTGGGGTTTGTAATAAATTTCTGATGAATGGTCCTTGCATATTAAATTTTAATGCCTCCTTCGATGTTTATTGTTCCTGTTGCATGAGGGTATAGAGGTTCTTTTTACTACTGAGTTGGATTAAGAGCTATCTTCATTTTTTTTCTCTTTTTCTATTTGTTCTGTCTTATGACTGTTGAATATTTTCCAGGTGTTTGATCTGCACCGTCACAAGATTGATGACATCACGATCCCTTCTAGTCGTGGCCCTGAATTTGGGGTGCTTCGGCGTGTGGACGATGTAAGCCTCTAGAAGAGACTCGGTGGTTTTCTGTTATCAGATTTTTGTTAAACTAGAATCTTGGATTTATAATCTTGACTATATGCTTTCTTTGGCAGGTTTTTGATTGTTGGTTTGAGAGTGGGTCGATGCCTTATGCTTATATCCATTATCCCTTTGAGAATGAAGAATTTTTTGCGGAAAATTTTCCTGGTCATTTTGTTGCTGAAGGGCTAGATCAAACTCGTGGATGGTTGGTTCCTCCTTTTCAACTTTCATAACTATATTTGTGAGCATTCAATGTGTTTATACATGTGTCTTTTAGTGATTTTTTGTTGTTCATGTATGTCCTGCAAAGAAATGCAGTGATAAAATACTTTCTGAACATTCTCATGACATAAGTCTGGTTTCTGTAGCTCTTGTCACCAATAAAAAGTGATCTTGTGTAGATTTTTTAGCTTGAGAATGTAGGCCACTCAACATCAAGTAACTCATTTTTTAATATGTAATGCTCCCCAAAATTGCTTGACAAGAACATTGCTGATCCCAATCGCTCCAGTCACCACAAGGAACTCACGAGGAATTCTGATTGGTATTATATTATTGATTGCAGGTTCTATACTCTCATGGTGCTGTCAACTGCATTATTTGGAAAACCAGCATTTAGGAATCTTGTCTGCAACGGTCTGGTCCTTGCTGAGGATGGTAAAAAAATGAGTAAAAAATTGAAGAACTACCCATCACCGATGGATGTAATCGATGATTATGGAGCTGTAAGTGTTAAGACCTTATTACTAGTTGTCTTGGGGTTTTGTTATGCTTTTGTGTATTTGAGCCCTGCTCATTTTTTAGCATTTTGTTTTTCTTTGACACAGGATGCTTTAAGATTGTACCTTATCAATTCTCCAGTTGTGCGGGCTGAAACTTTGCGTTTCAAGAAGGATGGAGTCTATAATGTTGTAAGTACATTCAGAAATATCTTAATAATTAAGTAGTGCGCATTGATTATTAGTTGAAGCTCAATCTCCTCCATGATCTGGGCTATAAAAGAGGTCGACCCAGTTCTGCTATGTTCAGGTTGGGCCGAGAGCCGGCAATAGAAGGGTTTTCTGTCTACTATGCAGTATAAGTTTAGGTGGGCCTTCTAGTTCTTTACTAATTGTAGACACTCTACCCAACCATATTTACTGCTTGTTCTGCAATTCTTTTTATCATTATGATTTTTGTTATCTTTTTGTCATTGCATGATGGAGATAGGCCTCTCATGTCCTATTCCTACAAAGTAGCGATAATGAAGTTGCAACTTCATTGAGTTTTGGGTTTAACTAACATATAGTAGTTTAGTAGTAAATAGAAGAGGGAGCCTTTATCTCCAGTGACAAAGGAGTTGTGTTCATAAAACTCTGAAACTCATAGGTCTTCCCTTGAGCCCCTAATGTTGTGCCTGCATATGAAGGAGGACAGATCTCTTTGATCATTTACTAATACCACCAGGCACTACAGTTACCTTCCAACTACTTGCTGTTAACCTTGACAATGCAGTTATCCAGCATGCATTTTGTGTTTATTTGGGCTTATAATTTTTTATTTTCTTCACCTGTTATCTCTTCTGTTCATGTTCTCTGTGCATATTCCTCATATTAGCCGTCCTTCTTATGTGCAGGTGAAAGATGTCTTTCTTCCATGGTATAATGCATACAGGTTTCTTGTTCAGAATGCCCAGAGACTTGAGGTTGAAGGACTTGCACCATTTTCTCTTGTTAGTCCAACAGCTCAGCAGAATTCTTATAATGTGCTTGATCAGTGGATCAACTCAGCTACTCGAAGTCTTGTACATTTTGTCCGCAAAGAAATGGATGCTTACCGACTTTACACGGTTGGCACTGTCCCAGAGCATTTCTGTTCTGCTGGATTTCTTGCATTCAATGATTGATAATTTGTGTCTTCTTATGTGTGTTTAGGTTAGGTTTACTGAAATTTCATATCCCCTGATAAATTTCTCTTTATAATGTTTGCAGGTGGTTCCATATCTTCTGAAGTTTCTGGACGACCTGACAAATGTATACGTCCGCTTCAATCGGAAGAGATTGAAAGGTCGTACTGGGGAGGAAGATTGCCGAATCGCTCTCTCCACTCTCTACAACGTATGTTTTCATTAATCATATCTTTATATAAATGGATTTGGTTCCTATATGGTTGATCTCTTGGAGTCCTTTGCTATTGTTGTTATATTGGATACTTGTGATGACTAAAAAATGATCGGTGCTTCAGGTGCTTCTAACTGCTTGTAAAGTGATATCATCATTCACACCGTTCTTCACAGAGGTCCTCTATCAAAATATGCGGAAAGTTTGTGCAAACTCAGAAGAAAGCATTCATTATTGCAGTTTTCCTCAGGAAGAGGGAGAGGTACTGCCAAATCATTTTGTAGATGTGCTTAGTTGATCTTTGTGGCTTAAGTTTTGGTCCACTTCTTTCACTATTCGAAAAGCTCATCATTACTTTCTTTGCATCCCATGACAATCCCATATAAAAAAAGATTTGTTCTCATTTCCCTCTCCCTTGCACACAACATATCTTCCCTTCTACATTTCATGTATAAAGTATATTCCCATTACAGAGAGATGCACGAATTGAGCAAAGTGTTTCAAGGATGAAGACCATTATCGATCATGCTCGTAATATCCGTGAGCGGCATAACAAACCTCTTAAGTCACCACTTAGGAAGATGATTATTGTTCATCCTGATGGAGACTTCCTTAATGATATAGCTGGAAAACTAAGTGAGGTTTGTCATAACTATGTGCAATTTTTATCTATCAGCTTCAGAATTCTTTTTTTCCCCCCTCTTCGTTACATCTTCACGTGTGAATTCTTGTTGCGCAATTACTTCAGTAGCATATCCGATTGCTTTCTACGTTGGAAGAAAGTGTCTACTTGAAAGTGTCTCTATGATGGAGTGCCTCTATTGGATTCTTTGGTGCATTAATTGGCATGCAATGATGCAAATGCATAGACTAGAAGAAGGTGTCTATTTGAAAATGGGGATTGGATGTTCCAATAGTTACTCTCTGAGCTCATAATTTGTACTTTTAGCACCCAATTTTAGGACAGACTAATTATATGCTAATTAGTTTTTCCATTTACTCTAGCATCGGAATTTCTAGTTTTGTTCTAATTATCTGACAATAAATTATTTTTGTTCCATTGTAGTTTGTACGAGAGGAACTCAATGTAAAAGATCTCATCACATGTAATGACACTTTGGAGTATACTTCTCTACGAGCAGAGCCCGAGTTCAGGTATCTTATTATTATTATTAGGTGACTTATCCGGGTAAAATCCGGGGTGCGGATACCTTGGCCGATCTTAACCATTCGTTCTCAATCTCTACGGCTCGCTTGGCCGATCTTAACCATTCATTCTCAATCTCCACGGCTCGCGTTTGTTGAACTTAACTACCCCACTAAATAACTAAACAAATTACAAAAAGCCTCCTTATGTGTTAAGATTGTTTTCATTCTAGTCCAACTAACTGCCCCCATAAAATTAAATGGATTAAGACTGCAAATCCAATTGGGTAGACCCACTGCCGTCCTAACCAATTTCCAGTCTCCCTAACCAATTACACAATCCCTTACTCGTCTTGGAGGGGACGCTCCTTCACAGTTCCAAGAGAAGCTCCTCATCGAATTTGAACTCCCCAACATAATCATCTTTTTGAATCCTAATTTCTTGCAGCCACATTCGACGTAGTTTGAATTTTCCCATTTCTTTTGATTTGTTTGTTCTTCGCCGTTTTATTTTCCCTTGCCTATCTCTTTCTAACACGGTTACGGCGACCATGTCTATTATTGTGTTCATCAAACTTTTCATTCAGCCAACCCTGTGGTTCATGTCACTGGTGCTTTGTTATCTTGTCTTAGCGTCATTGTCATTTTCTCGAAACTTCTATCTCTCTGTCAAATTAAGGTTTCCTGATATGTAAGGATCGACCCAGAGGATTGAGGAAGAAGACAGAATTTGATTCGAATCGGATGGAGAGGTCGCCTTAACTTGTGTTTATGTATTAACAGTGCGTTTATGACTAATTCTAGTTGGACTGGGATCCGTGTTATTTCTGAGTATAATCATTGTTTTTTGTAGGCTTTTAAATAACATTAAAAAATGGGCTTGTACATGATCCATGGAATATTCAAAAGTGGGCTTGGAACGTGCGAGCCCATTTCATTTCTCCTGCCGTATCATCTGTTTGTTCGGCCTCGAAGAAGGTACGAACTTACGAGATTACGACCATTGATTCCTGCGCCAACCCTAGTTTAACTAGCATGACTTGCCCTAGTTTAACCTATATAAGTTACCATCATCTTTACATATCTTCCGTAATCTTCTTGACTCTTGACATTCCACTTACCTCCACAGTCCACCATCTCCATCACCCTCACGTCTCCACCCCCCACGATCACTTTTTCTTTCTCCACTTATCTCTCCATGTTACACCTACATAATCTCTCTCTTCCGTCTTCACCTTCTCCCACTTCCTTCTTTCCTACAATCTGAAATCTCGTAATGGCAAAGAATAGTCGATCGTTTGCAGAGATGGAATACTTTCTTTATCCAACAAAGACGGCCGATCCACTTCCAGTCTTGGTGACTATCTCTCGTTTTCAAGCAAAACAATTATTGTCGTCGAGTACGAGTTCATCCACCTCAGCCCTTTCCCTCCCGAAGTGAAGACATTAATAAAAAATCTTGGTTGGGAAAATATCTTCGTTCTCCAGAGTCGAGAAAGCACAAGTTACGGTCCCCTTGTCGTGAGAAAGTTCTACCACAATCTTGAGCTTTTTTTCCCCCTCATATTCTCATATGGTATCGATCTTCCTCGGACATAGAGTCTGCTTTCAGTCTCATCAATTTGCTGAGATCTTTGATCTTCTCGCCGGACCCATTACGAGCAGAAGCGATCTTGCGCGGCTTCACGAATTTGAGTTTGAAGTTGAACTGTCGAAACTCACGAAGGGCCCGCATCGATGCTTCTTTGCTCCCAGATCCTCTTCTATTCCTCCACTGGTTGATCGTCAACTGCTTCCTTCTAAGGTACCGTGGTCATTCCATTATTCGTAAACTTGATTTGTTTGTCCTTGTGCAAGCTTAGAGAGGTGTTCCTGTTAACCTCGCATCTTTAATGTGTCTGAACATGGTCGAAGCTGATCCCAAAGGGAATAACTGGTATACTGTCTTTCCCTATGCGACCTTCGTCACCACCTTTCTTGAAAGGGTTGGGATGGATCTGAGCGTTTATATTAAGGAGGACTATTCTGCTTATTTGTCGGTGTACCGCATAGCCGAACTGATTAATACTTTTCTTGAGAATCGGCATACGCAGGATCGACAAACCCCTGAGTCCTCCTTAACGTTTGCTTGAGGAGGCCTCAGGGTCTCTTGATGCTCCGTATGCTGATTCTCAATAAAAGTATTTGGTCAATTCGGCTATACGGTACACTGGCAAATAAGCGCACTGGTCCTCCTTAACATAAACCCCCATATCCATCCCAACCCTTCCAAGAAAGGTTGTCACGAAGGTGGCATAGGGAAAGGCAGTATACCAGTTTTCCCCTTTAAGAGCAGCTTCAACCATGTTCAGGCACATGAGAGATGCGAGTTTAACAGGAACACCTCTTTGAGCTTGCACAAGGATAAACAAGTCAAGTTTACAAATAATCGAATGACCATGGTACCTTGGCAGGAAGCAGTTGACGATCATCTAGTGGAGGAATCGAAGAGGATCTGGGAGGAAAGAAGCCTGGATGCGCCCCTTCGTGATTTTCGCCAGTTCAACTTCAAACTCAAAATCGTACAACCGCACAAGATCGCTTCTGCTCTCAATGGGGTGTCCTCTAGCGGGAAGTCCAAGAATCTCAACAAATTGATGAGGCTGAAAGCAGACTCTATGTCCCAGGAAGATCGACACTAGATGAGAATCACAGGGACCAGAAAGCTGTAGATTGTGGTAGGACTTCCTCACCACATAGGGGCAGTAACTTGTGCTTCCTCAACTCCGGAGATCAAAGAACTTTTCTCAGCCAAGATTTTTTATTAACCTCTTCACTTCTGGAGGGAAATGACTTAGGTGGATGAACTCGTACTCGGCCACAATTGCGGTTTTGCTTGTAAATGAAAGATAGTCACTGAGACTGGCAATGGATCGGCAGTCTTCGTTTGATAGAAATAGTATCCCCATTTTCGCAAACGATCTACTTTTGTTTGCCATGGAGTCTGGAGGAAGAACGAACAAGGGGAAGGTGAAGATGGAGGAGAGAGAGAATGTAGGTGTAAGAAAAAGTGATCGTGGATGTTGAGTCTGGAGACGTGAGTGTGATGGAGATGGTTGAGTCTGGAATGTCAAGAGTTAGAAGATTACGAAAGATATGTAATGATGATGGTAACTCGTGCAGGTTAAACTAGGGTAAGTCATGCTAGTTAAACTAGGGTTGGCGCACGAATTGATACGGCAGGAGAAATGAAATGGGCTCGCACGTTCCAGATCGACTTTTGAATATTGCATGGATCATGTACAAGCCCACTTTTGAATGTTATTTAAAAGCTTGCAAAAATCAATGATCAGACCCAGTCGAACTAGAATTAGTCTTAAACGCACCGTTAATACATAAACACAAATTAAGGAAACCTCACCATCCGATTCGAATCAAATTTTGTCTTCTTCATCTCCTCCCTCAATCCTCTGGGCGAGATGAACACTACATATCAGGAAACCTTAATTTTACAGAGAGATAGAAGTTTCGAGAAAATGACAATAACGGTAAGACAAGATGACAAAGCACTAGCGACATGAACCCTAGGGTTAGCAAAATGAAAAGTTTGATGAACACAATAATAGACATGGTCGCCGTAATCGTGTTAGAAAGAGATAGGCGAGGGGAAATAAAATGGCAAAGACAAAATAAATTGGGAAATTCAAACTACGTCGAATGTGGATGCAAGTAATTGGGATTCAAAAAGATGATTAAGTTGGGGAGTTCAAATTGATGGGGAGCTTCTCTTGGAACTGTGAAGGGGCGTCACTCCAAGACGAGAGAGGAATCGTGTAATTGGTTAGGGCGGCAGTGGGTCTACCCAATAGGGAGGGTGTGGAGGTAATTGGAAAGTCAAGAAGATTACGGAAGATATGTAATGATGATGGATGGTAACTCGTGTAGGTTAAACTAGGGTAAGTCATGCTAGTCAAACTAGGGTTGGCTCAGGAATCAATTGTCGTAGGTTTGTAACTTCTTCGAGGCCGAACGAACAGATGATACGGCAGGGGAAATGAATTGGACTCGCACGTTCCAGGCCCACTTTTGAATATTCAATGGATCATCTACAAGCCCACTTTTGAATGTTAATTAAAAGCCTGCAAAAATCAATGATTAGACCCAGACCCAGAAATAATACGGATCCCAGTCCAACTAGAATTAGTTCTAAACGCCGTTAATACATAAACACAAGTTAAGGTGACCTCTCCATCCGATTCTAATCAAATTTTGTCTTCTTCCTCAATCCTCTGGGCGAGACGATCCTTACATATCAGAAACCCTTAATTTCACCGAGAGATAGAAGTTTCGAAAAAATGACAATAACGCTAAGACAAGATGTCAAAACACTAGCGACAATGAACCCTAGGGTTAGCAAACCTCTTTCAATGGTTCTTTTGCAAATGAAAAGTTTGATGAACACAATCAATCAATAATAGACATGGTCGTCTTAATCGTGTACAGTTAGGTTGAAGTCGAATGAGAAAAGGTTTAACGCTTCGTGATGCTTTTTGTAATTTTCCTTGTCCCCGGTCTTCCGTACCCCAGATTTTGCCCTGGACACCCTAGAACTGCCAATTATTATTATTATTGTTGTTATTATTATTATTATTATTGTTGCTGCTGCTGCTATAACGTGATACTGTTTTTCGTGACACTGTAAGCATTTTTCTTTACCTTTTAGTGCGTTAGGTAAACGGCTTGGAAAAGATATGGGAGTTATTGCCAAAGAAGTGAAAGCAATGTCTCAAAACGAGATTTTGGAGTTTGAGAAAGTTGGTGAACTTACCATAAAGATGCACTGCCTAAAGCTAACTGACATCAAGGTGAGTTCTTCAGTGGTTGCATTCTTACGAATGTTTAATTCACTACTTCTATCCTCTTACATTTTTATTAAAAGCAATTATCTAACCTTGCAGGTTCGTCGGGAATTCAAACGTCCTGATGCCTTGACCGAGAAGGAAATGGATGCTGCTGGAGATGGTAGGAATACTATTTTGGAAGTTCTTCGACACTAGTTTTGGACTTAAGCGGATGCCTTAAGTGTTACTCTAATGTTTTTGCAGGTGATGTACTGGTTGTTTTGGATTTACGGCCAGATGAGTCCTTGTTTGAGGCTGGCTTTGCTCGCGAGGTACATCTCTTTTCTGTTTATGTTAAGTATAGACATTGTCTCTGGCATCTGTAACTTCATATCGGCTTTGATTACTAGTTACTTTTACACAATTGACATCCCATATGTCTGCCAAAACCTTTATCGTCATATAGTGTCTGAAATTTTTGGATATTTCACATGTTTGAAGCAATATCATTATTTTCTGCTGAACTTTGGTAGCCAGAGCAGCTTTGATGGAATTTTATTTTCACTTGATGCTGAGTACAGGTGGTCAACAGAATCCAAAAACTAAGGAAAAAGCTTGCGCTTGATCCTACTGATGCTGTGGATGTTTACATTGAATCCTTGAAGGAGAACTCAACCCTGCAGCGAGTTCTCGATTCACAGGTAAAATTGATCTCTGTTAGTTCCAGCTATGTGAAACACAAAGAAGTTATTCAGTATTGTAAGCCTACTGAAATTATCAGTCTTTTGTTATTGCTTCTCCTCCTTATCCTTTTTTCGATTTTCTTATCCTGGTAGCTGTCGCCTTCCTCTTCCAAACCAGATTGCGCTTGATCCCTGTCTGTACAGCTTTTTTCTTTACAAAGTGTTGGATTCTGGATTTCTTCGGGTTTAATTAGTACATTCGGACTTAAATGTTTCAGGAACTCTATATCAGGGACGCAATTGGTTCTCAGTTGCTTCCATCTACTGCAATGCCATCGCATGCTGTAAGTTGCATTCCATATGACCAACATGTGTCATGCCTGCTTGTGAAATTTTTAATTATTGACTTGGATTATTATATTGAATAGTGTTCATGTTGAGAAACTCCACCACTAAACTGTCTGTCTGCATTAGGCTGATTTATTTGCCAGAATTTGCACTAATTCTATTGCTAAGCTGGCGGGCTAGCCCATTTTTACGTGGACCTATATATAAGTTGAGGTTGTACTTGATATTGAATTTGATTATGGAAACTGTAGCCTCTAGCTATTCCCGCAGTTGGGTCATGATAGCTCCCTGACCTCACCACATAGCAATTATGGTTAGAGATAGCATGGATAGCAGGCAGACTTACTAAAAGTCTTGAGTTGGTAGTTTACCGCTTATTGTCTGGGTTCTCCTATCTTAGGATATGCCTCTGTGTATATTGGGACGAGAGGAACAGCGGCCCAAGCCCATGATTCAGTCCAGCCGAGAGGGGCAGCAGCAGCCCAAGTTATCAATTCAACCCAAGGCAACAAATGTTCCCAGTACGTGCACCCAAGGATTTCTCCTTCTCCTGTTCGTGTACAGCTAGGGCAAGTAGAACCAAAGCTATATAATGTTGATGTAGGCCAAACGGCCATTGTACAAGTTTGCAGTAAGTAATAATATCAGAGCTGGAGAGGCTGATCTCTCCCGTGGATTAGTCCTGACAAATCGTCAGGGATACCACGTAAAAATCTCGTGTCTCTTTCGTTTTATTCTCGATTTAACATGGTATCAGAGCCTGGTTGTCTGTGAGGTCACGTGTTCAAGTCCTCACGACCCCCAATATTAACCGTTGTCTTTCAAGCACATGGTATGGCGGGCCTGTGCAAACTTCAAGCCCATGAGTCGGCTTTCGTTTGAGGGGGCGTGTAAGGAAGTGGTTAAGCACCATACACGGGCCTGTATAAGATCCAGCATAACCTTCTCCCAACAACTCGAGTTATTGGGATCAACTGGTTCATGACATGGTATCAGAGCTGGTTGTCTGTGAGGTCACGTGTTCAAGTCCTCACGACCCCCAATATTAACCGTTGTCTTTCAAGCACATGGTATGGCGGGCCTGTGCAAACTTCAAGCCCATGAGTCGGCTTTCGTTTGAGGGGGCGTGTAAGGAAGTGGTTAAGCACCATACACGGGCCTATATAAGATCCAGCATAACCTTCTCCCAACAACTCGAGTTATTGGGATCAACTGGTTCATGACATGGGTGAATCCGCGTTCTAGCTGTGCTGTTCGTCAGTCATCATGAGTGACGAAGATTCGTCGAAAAGGTCTTCAGGTATGAAAGGAGAGTTCTCGATGAGTCAAGGTTTTGATGTAACTTCTGAATTTTTCTTGCATCCTTCCGATATTAATGGTCAGCTCCCTGTATCGGATGTACTCACGTCATCGAATTACGGTGAGTGGGTGGTTGATGTCACGGATGCGTTGATAGTCAAGAATAAGTTCGGATTCGTTGATGGAAGCATTCCGCGACCTGCGACTGATCCGGAATTGAAGGCATGGACTCGCTGCGATGCTGTCGTAAAGGGATGGCTTCGCATATCCATGGACAAGGAGGTGCGAAGTAGTGTTCGGTACGCGTTCTAGCTGTGATGTTCGTCAGTCATCATGAGTGACGAAGATTCGTCGAAAAGGTCTTCAGGTATGAAAGGAGAGTTCTCGATGAGTCAAGGTTTTGATGTAACTTCTGAATTTTTCTTGCATCCTTCCGATATTAATGGTCAGCTCCCTGTATCGGATGTACTCACGTCATCGAATTACGGTGAGTGGGTGGTTGATGTCACGGATGCGTTGATAGTCAAGAATAAGTTCGGATTCGTTGATGGAAGCATTCCGCGACCTGCGACTGATCCGGAATTGAAGGCATGGACTCGCTGCGATGCTGTCGTAAAGGGATGGCTTCGCATATCCATGGACAAGGAGGTGCGAAGTAGTGTTCGGTACGCTAAAACCGCGAGAGAAGTGTGGGTTGATTTAAAAGAGCGTTTTGGTCAAGGAAACCTCACCCGCGGGTATGAACTCCGACGCACGCTTAGCGGATTGTGGCAAGAGAAACTTTCCGTGTCCACATTCTACACTCGTCTTCGTACGATATGGGAAGAAGCGCAGTCTATGTCGCCTCAAGAAAAGTGCACCTGCGGCAACTGCACTTGTAACTTGGAGGCTCGAATTCGCGCCAAGGAGGACACCTCTCGGCTCCTTGATTTTCTCATGGGTTTGGACGAGAGTTTTGGTACTGTTCGGAGTCAGATATTGACTATGAAGCCATCACCGAGTTTGAGTGAGGCATATGGCATTGTCTCCACAGATGAGCAGCAGCGACTACTCACACAAAAGAGGCGCCCGTCTCCCGAAGCGGCTGCTTTTGCGGCCAAAAACACCATGGATAAAGGTGAGAAATCGGAAAAGAATGATCGAGCAGATCGGCCAACTGGGCCAAGAACTAATGACGGCAAGCCACTTTGTACGCACTGTGGAAAAGTTGGGCATTTTAAAGCAACCTGTTATGAGATTATTGGTTACCCGGCTCGCAGCGGCAGTGACAAGCCTGAAAAGAGTGAGAGGAAGAAACGTTCACAACATGAGCGAGCCCCCAGAGCTGCCGCAGCTGAAACCGACGCCAGTCAGGTCACTGGCTTCACTCCTACTCAACTAGAACAACTTCGGAAACTCTTCAGCTCGTCCAAGGCAATGGATGATCCGGCTGCTCACATGGCAGGTACGTTCCTTGGTAGTTGTGAATGGTTAATAGATTCTGGCTGCAATGAGCATATTACTAAAGATGAGTCTATGTTTAGTACGAAGTTGTTTACTGAACACAGCCAGCCAGTAAAAATTCCGAATGGAGATTATGTCCCAGTTAAGAGTATTGGTTCTATACAGTTGAATTCAGAGATCAAGTTGGAGCGCGTACTACACGTGCCTGAATTCAAGTGTAATTTGTTATCTGTCAGCAGGCTAACTAGGGATAATAATGTCGCGATAATTTTCCTCCGTGATATGTGTGTTCTCCAGGACTTACAATCCAAGAACGTGATTGGGAGGGGGATTCTCCGTGATGGACTTTATTTCTTGAAGATGTTTGGTGAACAAGAACGGTTGGCTCTTGCTGCAGATGGTCGACACAAACTCCCTGAGTCGATGTGGCATTCGCGGCTGGGACATCTATCTTCGGAAAAGCTATCTCAACTTAGTTCTGTTATCTCTTTTTCGGCAGTCAAGAATAAACATCCATGTCATTCTTGTTTTCGCGCTAAGCAGAGTCGTACTCCTTTTCCACACAGTTCTATTAAGACTACGTGTTGTTTCGAGCTGATACATATAGACATATGGGGTGGTTATCAAACGGCTTCCACTAGTGGAGCTCATTATTTCTTAACCATTGTCGATGATTTCAGTCGTGGTGTTTGGGTATATCTTTTGAAGTTCAAGTCAGAAGTTGCTAGTTACATCACTATGTTTTGTGAGATGGTGCAAACACAGTTCAATCTAAAAGTTCGTCGTATTCAGGCAGATAATGGCTTGGAATTTGCAACTTCGTCACTCAGAGAATACTACGAAGGATCTGGAATAGTACTTCAAACAAGTTGCACAGATACTCCGCAACAAAATGGCGTTGTTGAACGCAAACATCGTCATATCCTGGAGACAGCTCGTGCACTTCGTTTTCATGCAGGTCTCCCAGTCCGGTTTTGGGGAGAGTGTATACTCACTGCAGTTTATTTGATTAATCGTATCCCTACGTCAGCAACAGGTAAAACTCCCTATGAGATTTTGTTTGGAAAGCCGGCAGCTTACTCGCACTTGCGGGTATTTGGATGTCTTCTGTACTCCAAGGATACACATGGGGGACTAACGAAATTTGCTGACCGGGGGCGTGCTGGTGTCTTCTTGGGATACGCAGCAACTCAGAAAGGATACCGGTTTTATGACTTACTTTCACGGAAGATACAGGTTTCTCGTGACGTGGTTTTCCATGAGGACTACTTCCCATTCCATGCACAAGACCCACGTGAGTTCCATTGGCTTCCTCAATCGGTGACTATGGAATTATGTGATAATCATGAAGCTTCAGGAGATGAATTTTCGACTCCACTGGTTTCTCAATATCCACAAGTTTTGGGCGACCATGGTGCGACACCTGCCTCCCCAGCGCTTGATAGTAGTCCCTCGGTGCAAGGACCTCCACCTGGTGATACATCTCCACTTCCAGCACCACGTGAAGCTCCTTCCCCTTGCCCAAGCCCTGGCATTCTCACTGCTCAAAGTCCCACTTCTGTTCCTGCCGCGCCTAGCGAACCTGCATTGGGACGAGGGTTGCGCAGTAAGCGCCCACCCAGTCATCTCGCCGATTACGAGACCGATTTGACCTCGGCGTCCCATGTCCGCTACCCCATCTCTCATCATGTCTCCTATGAACGAGTTAGTCCAGAATATAAGGCTTTTTTAGCCAAGATTGATCGCATCCCAGAACCTCGTACGTTCAAGGAGGCTATGCAACATGCATGCTGGCGGGAAGCTATGGCCAAAGAGATTTCCGCACTTATGGCCAATGGCACTTGGCGGCTTGAGAACCTTCCTCCAGGTAAGCGTTGCATTGAGTCAAAATGGGTTTTTAAAGTCAAATATTATCCCGATGGATCTGTTGAGCGATATAAGGCGCGGTTGGTCGCAAAGGGTTACACGCAAATTGAGGGCGTCGATTTTCATGATACATTTGCACCAGTAGCTAAACTGGTCACGGTTCGTTGCCTATTGGCAGTGGCGGTTAGTCAGGGTTGGTTTTTACATCAGCTCGACGTTAACAATGCTTTTCTCCATGGTGATCTGTCGGAGGAAGTTTATATGAAAGTTCCCCCTGGCTTTGCTGTAGATGGTGATTCCCGTGTTTGCCGCTTGCAAAAGTCAATCTATGGGCTACGTCAGGCATCCAGGAATTGGTACCAAAAATTCACTGTCTCTCTTGGTGATCTCGGTTTTCGTGCATCACCCGCCGATCATTCGCTCTTCATTTATAAGAAGGGCTCTACGTTTGTTGCGGCTCTCATCTACGTAGATGATGTCATACTTGCTGGAAATGATATGGATTTTATCAATCATGTCAAAAGGTTTCTTGATCAGAAATTCAGCATCAAAGACCTTGGAGTTCTTCGTTACTTCTTATGCCTTGAAGTGGCCCGTACTCCTGCGGGACTCATCGTCAGTCAACGGAAGTACGTCATGGATATCCTCACAGAAGCAGGGGTTCTTGGTTCTCGCCCTAGTGCCTTCCCGGTTGAACAAAACCACCAGCTCACCAAGCCTACTTCGGCTCAGCTTGTGGATGGATCGTCTTATCGTCGTCTTGTTGGGCGATTACTTTATCTCACTGTGTCGCGGCCAGACATTGCCTATGGGGTTAATATACTTAGTCGCTTCGTTCATGCTCCTACTCAAGCACACATGGATGCTGCTATGCGTATCCTTCGGTATTTAAAAACCTCTCCTGGTCAGGGTCTCTATTTCCCTGCCAAGAATTCGCTTGAGCTTATTGCACACTGTGATGCTGATTGGGGTGGCTGCCAGTCCACTCGTCGGTCTACTAAAGGTTTCTATATCTCGCTTGGATCCGCACCTATCTCTTGGCGGACCAAGCGTCAGAAGGTCGTTGCACGATCGTCTGCAGAGGCGGAGTATCGTTCCATGGCTAGTACAGTGAGTGAACTCATTTGGCTTCGTTGGTTACTTCAAGAGTTGGGCGTCCCCCAGTTGACTCCCACTCGCCTTTACTGCGATAACCAGGCTGCATTACACATTGCTGCCAACCCGGTTTTCCATGAGCGCACGAAGCATGTCGAGATGGATTGCTATTTCGTGCGTGAGCGTTTTGTCTCTGGTGATATTCTTCCCCTGAAGGTTAGCACCGAGCATCAGATTGCCGATCTTTTCACCAAAGGGCTGGGTGCCGATCGTTTTCGTTTTTTGCTCTCCAAGCTGCACGTTCGTGATCTTCACCGTCCAGCTTGCGGGGGCGTATTGGGACGAGAGGAACAGCGGCCCAAGCCCATGATTCAGTCCAGCCGAGAGGGGCAGCAGCAGCCCAAGTTATCAATTCAACCCAAGGCAACAAATGTTGCCAGTACGTGCACGGCAAGGATTTCTCCTTCTCCTGTTCGTGTACAGCTAGGGCAAGTAGAACCAAAGCTATATAATGTTGATGTAGGCCAAACGGCCATTGTACAAGTTTGCAGTAAGTAATAATATCAGAGCTGGAGAGGCTGATCTCTCCCGTAGATTAGTCCTGACAAATCGTCAGGGATACCACGTAAAAATCTCGTGTCTCTTTCGTTTTATTCTCGATTTAACAGTGTAACTAAAGAAAGAAGAAATGGCAAGAATTGGAACAGATCTCCTTGGTGCACAGCCATTTTCCATCAGTTCACGTTGGAGATTCAATTTTTTTTTTTTTTTTTATTTCGACGGTTCCTGCAGGTGGTGATTGGAAACGAGGCTTTCCACGGGATCTCTGGTTTGTCATTCTCAATCTCTTTGGCAAGGGCAGCGGTGATGATCAATTCAGAATCTTGTGCTGCTTTATATGGAGGTTCGTCTCTCGCGTTTTTGCTGTAGATTACCACGCCCTCGCTGATGTTGCTTGTGACTAACGGTATTATCTGAATCCCAATGCAGGAAATACTCGATTTTGTCAGATGTTACAAGTTTACTTGGTGTCTAGGGACCATAGTAATCTCAAAACAGAGGTCCAGCTAGGAAATGGGACAGTAAGATAGCTGCTTCTTCTTAAGAGTTTACGTTTCTTGGTGACCCTTGGATCCATGCCCTGTTAATGTTTATTTACGGTCTTTACTGTGGTTTCAGATAAGGGTAGATTCCATTGAGAATCTGCCTCCTGTGGAGCTAGAGTTTGGAAGGCACTTTCACTTGACCGTAGGAGATCACTTCGTGGCTACAAGAATGCAACTTGGCTGAAAATGCATAGTCGAGATGGATTCCCCTCTGGTTATAATGGACAGCAGTTTTCTTCCAACTTTTCTTACAGTATTTTGTAGTTGATTGAAGTGAAGTGATGAATGTAGTCTAGATTTTGCCATCACATTCAAGAGAATTGGGGCTTGGAATCCCCTTTTTGTATTAACCAACCTAAGAATGAAATAGGGTTGGGGTACTTCGTAGATTTTGTTCCTACAGAGAACTAGGGCTTATTTGTTTGCAATTTTTACTTGTGACCATGTAGGAGAGATGGGGGGAAAGCAAGGAGTTTACGTGAACCGCAACGCAACATGTTGGGATTATACGAGTTTGGCGTGAGATTGCTAGGTTGGATGTTGGTAACATAATGCCTAGTTAAGTAGGGCAACAATTTCCACAAGGTCTGTTATTCAGTGCATTTTAAATGCAAATAAGTTGGAGAATGGATTTATGTTGGCAAATTATATTTTAGTATTCACTTATATTTAAAAATTTGGTACTTAAAATTATTTATTTTTAGGATTATAGGTAGAATATGCCCTTCTACTATGCAGTCTATTAAACATGTCATTTTACTATTTTTTACATCAACATACCACTATGCATCCAAAAAATTATCAAACATGCTCTTATGTTAAAATTTTCATTAAAAAAGAATTGAGATTCACACGACCCAACATCGGCAAAATTTGGAGGGGGGAGAAATTGTCAATATTTTCGTATTTATTTTTCTTGATCTTGTTAAAGTCAAATTATTACAAGTATTTGGCTATACAAAAGAAACAAAATAATTCTAAAATAAAATTATTATGAATATTTTAGACATGGGTGTCGCCCAAACCAAGGTTCGATTGTAATTGACGGTTTTTTATGCGAATTTTAACATAAGGGCATGTTTAATCAATTTTACAAAATATAGGGGCATGTTTGATGTAAAAAATAGTATAGGGGCATGTTTGATGTAAAAAATAGTATAGAAGCATGTTTGATAAAACTATAAAGTACAGGGGCATATTATGAAGATTGTTATTCGTCGTCCTAAAATTTTTTATTGGTCACCCTAATTATCATTAAATGACTTATATAACCTTAATTTAGTATTGTATTTGTTTTCAAAACATGTAAATACAGAGAAATTTTACAATGCTATATAGTATTGGTGCTATAGGTTTTTGCCTTTATGGTACAACTTAAAATTGTACATTTACGTTATGGTACAATTTCAGATTGTACCTATACTTTTTGTACAAATTCTTTTATGGTACAACTTGAACTTGTACCTTTATGTGATGGTACAACTTTAAATTGTAAAGTTGTACCATAACATGATGGTACAAATTGCTTTATGGTACAACCTAAACTTATACATTTAATGTTATGGTACAACTTTGAGTTGTACATTAAACCACCAATGCTATATAGCATAGTAGAAGTGCTCGTAAATACATAGTAGACTATTGATTTTGCCTGGCCACACGTGGAAGCCTTCAGTGTCTTTTCCCTCTTGGTTCACACCTCCAGCTCCAATTCTAACAATCTCGCCGGCCGAGGTTCTTTCGCGTAGATCTCTAATTCTAACTTCTTGCTTGGTCGGAATCCTTGCATTCTTCCCTCTCCCAAAAGCTTTCGCTACTTCCAACTTCCCCAGGTCACCACTTCCTCCAATTCCGCTGTCGCAAGTCACATAAGTTTTCGATTCATTGTTATGATGGTTTCATTCGAATAGAGATGTCAATCAAACCCACGGTCGCGGGTACCCGACCGTCTTCGACCTAGTCAACGCGGGTAATCCCTGCTTTGACCGGGTATGGAGCGAGTATGGGTAAAACCCACAAAAAGTTTGATGGGTATGGGGCGGATATGATTTTAGCCTCCCCCGCCCCATACCCATACCCATATCCGCCTCACCAAGAGACTTTCTTCACATATACAAATATATGTGGATCACATTGTAATCTATCAATGATGATGAGGATAACTTGAGGAAATAAATAGTAGAAATGCAGTTGAGTGATCACCTTAATCAAAACCTAATTCATTTCCCTCCATTCTCCTTTCACTCTTTCACTTTCCCCTTGTCAACAAGATTATGTTAATTATTTCTTAGTAGATGTATCAGAGTTAGAACATGATAATTTAAAAAATATTATACTCTATATTATGTATTAACGAATGTTTTAGGATTCTTTGAACCGTATTAAGAAAATGATCGTGTTTTGTTGAATTCGTGATATAATAGGTACGTTTAGAGTTGTAGTTAAAACTTTTCTTGTAAATTTTAGGATAATAATGTTGGATGTACGGGTACAGGTATTACCCATGGGCACCCGAAACCCACGGGTATGGGGATGGGTTTGCCAAACATTCCCCCGCATGGGTATGGGGTGGGTATGGGTTTGGATATTTGAAGATGGGGATGAGGATGGTTTAGACAAACCCGCCCCAAACCAGCCCCATTGCCATCCCTACATTCGAAAGTGAATAGCGATACATCAGTTCCGCCCGCTGTTTAATTGGTTGTCAGCCTACAGGTATTGACGCCATCGATAGAATCTATCATCTTCGCCAATATAGTTATGCTGCTTACAACATAAGCTGTGAGTATATACTCACACGGCCGATTGGAGGTCCACGACGGCAAGCCACGATCTGAGAGTGTGGAGATGATTGGCGCCGACAGGTGAGAGCCAAGACTACCTTTGTGGCTCGGCTGGCCCAAATCTGCCAATAAAACCTGGCCCAACCCAAATTCAAACACCAAAAATTCAAAAAAAAACCTCACCTTTTATTTAGTTTCCTCTTCTCTCTCTATCATTATTCATTACGTTGGTTTTATTTCTCTCCCCTCTCCAAAAGATTTCCCTTTCCTCTCCCAATAACGCACAAAAAAATCTCTCCGTCGAGGGTTGCGATGAAGATGACGGTGGCGACGAGGACTGCAAGGAAAAAGACGACGACGCAAGGAGAAGACGACGACGCAAGGAGAAGACGCCGGTGCTTGGCGACGATCGTAGCGGTGATTGAAGGAAGAATGTGTCGGCCGAGAGGGAGGAAGACGACGACGGCGGCGGCAAGGAGAAGAAGGTTGTTGAGGTAGATGTCTTCTTTTCTCTGGATTCATTGATTCGACTGTATGGTTTTATGGATTCGAGATCTGGGATTCTGTGGGGTTGGGATCTGTGATTCAATTTGGGGAATATGGGATTCTATGTGTTTGGGATCTTAGATTCGATTTGGGAGATCTAGGATTCGTTTGGGGGATTTGGGATTTTGTGCGGTTGGATCTGGGATTCGATTTGTAAATCTGGAATATTAGTTCGCTTAATATGGATAATAGTTAGCATGCTTTGGATACTACTTTTTATACTGTGGATATTGTACTATTGATTGTTCGGATATTAGTTATGTGATATCTGTATATTTGTTTACTATTTCTCTGCCCTATATGGATGTTAGTTCGCTTATATTAGTTCTGTGCGATTGAGATAGGGGTTGCTAATTATCGCCCTACCCTTTTTATAATCGCCCTAACTTACCAGTTATTTTACCCTTCTAAAATATTATATTATAATAAACATAAACATCTAAAAAATTCTCTGTCGCTACCACAACTCGCCGCGGTCACCATTACCGGCGGCCACCACAACTTTCCACCTCCGGTCGTCTTAACTGCATCGATCACCAACCCCCTAGTAGTGCATAGGTTCCCATAGTAGTCAATCCATCGAGATACCACTGGCCTATTTATTAATTCTCAACGCTAATCCACTCCATCTTTGTTCTATCTTTTAATCCTCGATGCAAGTGCAAGAGCGTTGACAGGCTGCTACCGCCATTGCCAGGAACATACTCGTCGCGCATGGAATTATTAGCCCTCGATGAATTGTAAGGATGAAATCGCCACTTTGTTTCCCTCCACAGGCAATCTCAAACATAACCCCCTATATATATAGTAGTTATATAGTGATGGTGAGGGAGAATAAGGACGACAGGAGAGAGTAGAGGAGGATTGGGTGGTTGTCGGAAGGACGTTGGCGGCAGATTGGGTGGATGCAGGAAGGACGTCAACGACGGATTGAGTGTTTTTTTTTGTTAGGATGGATTTGATTTGTGATTTTGTTTTCATTTTATGGACAATTATGTAATTTCCATTTTTAAGTTAGGGCGATAGTAGTAATATTAGGGCGACGTTTAGCCGTCCAGTTAAGATATTATGCCTGATATTAGGTATGCTATTGGTGGATATTTTTTTTGGTTTGTTTGGATATTACTCTGGATGTATGGATTATAGCTACCTTATATTAGTTCTGTGTGGTGGGGATATCAATTGATTGATACCTGGATATTTATCTATGATTCCAGGGATATTGGACAATGACAAGAACTAAACAAAAGCGAAGAGACTGAAAATAAGAGAAGGATCATCCCAACCTCGTCGTGGCATGACCGAAACATGGGGGGCTTGGAGGACATGATCAAAAAGATTATCGAGAGTTTGATCAAGCAAGACAACATTTGAACTATTCCTTTTTCGTTTTTTTATGTGGTTGTACTTTTTTGGATTTTAGATTATGAGATTGCCAAGTTGGAATGACATTAATACTAGTTGTATCGCGGTTTGTCGAAAAACAACTTTATTTTATGGATTTGTTTAAACTCAATATCAACACAAACAAACATAGATAAACATCCACACAAAACAAATATCCACACCACCGATACTAATATCTCACAGTCTAATACCAATATCTAGTCGGTCGATAATTAATAATCCTCGCCATCACAGACTAATACAAACTACACACAAAATAATATCTGACCATCGCGAACTAATACTCACTACACGGAAGTACCCACACATCGCAAACTAATATCCTCCCATCACATAGTAATATCTTATCACCACAGACAGATATCAAATCATTCTACATTGTGTTCATATCTATTTCCACAACATCATCTTCTAAACCCTAAACCAAAACAACTCTCATTCTAAACCCTAAAAAATATCCACACCATCCAAACTAATATATCACTGTCTCAAACCAATATCCAGTCATTAAAAATGTAATATCTCACCATCACAGTCAAATATCAACAATACACAGACTGATATCTCACCGTTGCAGACTAATATTCGACTACACAGACAAAATATCGAACCACCATACATTGTGTTCTAAACCACGAACCCTAAACTCTAAACCCTAAGTAGGTCAAGTGGATGTAGTTGTAATTAGTTGGGGGGGGGGGGGGCTTTGAAATTATTTTGGTGAAAAGTGAAAAGTAAACATTAGCTTTGTGATGTAAAATAAGGATGGATACTCTTTTGGGCAAACACGAATATTATTAATCAGAAGGTCTAATAAGAACAACTATGTAGACTAATATCCATAAAGGTAACAAAAAATCTAATCACACAAAACTAATATTTGTCCTTTATCAAACAAATACCCATTCACCCCAAAATAAATAGATGTCCTATATCGAACAAATATCGGTGGTGCCCAGACTAACATCCATCCACTCCATATATAATATTCATCCTTATGCGAACAAATATCATTGACACCCTGACTAATATCCAACCACATAAATTAATATCCGAAATCACAAACGGAATAATATCATACCTACAATGACAAAAAAAACTTCATTTCCGGATGCTTTCCTCAGTGATATCTTCATCCTCTGACTCTGAAGACATGGAAGTTGTTTGAGAAGAGAAGAACAATATGGTGGGTAAGTTGGGAAATAGGGATGGCAATGGGTCGGGTCGGGGCGGATAGTGCATATCCGTTACCCTACCCAAAGTACTTCGGGTTTTACCCATACCCATACCCACATGTGAAACCGGTAGAAAATCAAAACCATGCCCATACCCGTTCGGGTTTTGGGTATCCACGGTTATCCATGGATATTAATTTCTCTTCATAACTCCAACCAATATGTTAACATTCACACGTATTCTTATATTAAGTAAGAGAAAAAGTACGACAAGAATTCACTAGAATGAAGAAAATTAACTAAAACAACACAATTTCATGAAAATATTATATTTATATGCTAAATATAAAATATGTTAGAGAAAAATAATAATTATTTCTAGACAAAATACATATGCATGTGTATAATCGGGCGGGTTCGGGTCGGATAGTGAGAAATCCATGCCCACCCATTACCCGCAATATTCGGGTTCGGGTTTTACCCGTACCCACTAAATGTCCTTCGGGTTCGGGTTTTACCCTACCCGACTAGGCCGGATTCGGGCGGATATCCACGGTTACGGATATTTTTGCCATCCCTATTGGGAAACCAGTATGTTAGGGTTGGTGCTTAAATAAACAAAGATGACATTTGAATAGTTAGTACAAGGTTCACATGGGAATAGTGACCATAAGGTTCATATGTGAATAGTTACAAACTAAGATCCATCGCATATAATATAAGTTCATAAAACAAACATCCATACCGCCCATACAAAAACCCATTCACTCCAAAACAAATATCTGTGCTTTATAGAACAAATATCCGTGGCTCCCAGACTAACAACATTCATCCACACTAGAAATAATATCCACCCTTAAACGAACAAATATCATTGGCAACCTGACTAATATCTAACCACATAAACTAATTTCTGAAATCACAAACAGACTAATATCAGGGTTTGGAAGACACACTCTCCTACTATTATTGATTCATTGGCCTTCGGCCAATGGGCCCTCAGCGGGCAGCCCTAACTAAGGTTGCAAGCCTTATGTGTTAGGACTTGATAGCGTGTTTAATTTTGATGGAAGACACAATTAATTCACAAACTAATATCCATCACATATAATATCAGCTCATGCAAAAATTAATATCCATACCGCCCAGACTAATATCCAACCACATAAACTAATTTCCTTCGGTCCATCGATAATATTTTGGTTAAGGATGGATACTAGATTGGACGATATGAATATTAATCCGGGTTGATTTCTCTCTTCATGTGAGAATAGTTGGTGGGTGGCATTAAATGCTCAACATCTCTCTCATGTGAAAATTCATCAAAAGCATCAAAAGTAGCAGATGGTGAGCAATGCTTTTCTCTCTCTTTTGTCAACTCAGACCGAATATTAGTTCGTGCACTTTTCGATATTTATTAGTCTCGGCTGGATACGAGTTATCTCAGCGGCTCCCTTTCTCAATTCCGCGCAAATCAAAGGTGGACCCCACGCACCTTGTTCAGCTTGGTCGGCTGGGTCGACTTGTGCAAAAAATTTCTTAAATAGCTCACTTAAATGAGTCATGGATGGACTAACCCCCTCACCCTTGGATTAGAACTGGGCCGACGTGGACAAATCTGGACCTTGTGAGTATCTACTCACAAAACACCTTGTGAGCAGATTAACTATTTCGCATCTTCGTAGTGGTATAAAAGAGGTAGCAGCCATGAATTCAAAAAATTGTAAAAGATTTAGACAAGATAAATCGATTCATAACTGCTTTCTGTACTCGCCGGAGAGCTCTTGTAATTGAAGCTAATTACAAGGATCTAAAAAATTCAATCTAAGAAGCGATTCAAAAAAAAAACGGGTGGCGGATGGCTGGGGAATGACAGCGGCGGACCAAGCTGCTCAGACCCTCTACCTCATGCTTCTTCTTTCTCCTTCCTCAACAACAACAACGGGTCGTCGGATTGAGGGAATTGAAGCGGGTGACAGCGCCCGTACCTTCTTCCTCCTTCCTCATCAATAAAAGCGGGTCGGCCTGCTAGGGGAATGGCCACAGCGCCTGAATCCGACTGGTGGGATTCTATCTCTTTCTCAGCAATGACAACAAGTCGGGGGAGTGGGGAAATGGGAGCGGCGACCCAGTGGGGGAACGGTGGCGGTGGTGGGACGGTTGGTGGGCTGAAGCCAGGATGAAAATTCGAGTCAGGTATTACTGATTCAAATTGGGTATAAGGGTATAACTATCGATTTAGTATGATTTAGGGCGAAATAATTTAAATTTTAGGTCGACGAATAGCGATTCAGCATATTATACCTATAACCCTTATTTTTAAGGGTATATGCAACATTTGGTCACTAGGTTTACTAAAAAGTGTCATGTTTAGTCACTAGAAATTTTTAATATCAATTTGGTCACTTTAATTATTCAAACAGTCAATGTTTGGTCACTCGAATTATTCAAACAATTCATGTTTGGTCACTCTCCGTTAACTTTTTCTGACGTGGCAAAAAGAAAAGTCTAGTCACCCAAATTTAACTTGAAAAACTAAAAAATCTGACCCGCCACGTCAATTGACCCAACCCGTGACACAAACCTACCTAGTTTTGACCCGCCCTCCGTCTCCAAATTGACCAATTGCTGTCATCTATCTTCTTCTTGTCTTAATTCCTCGATTGAAAATAGAAGCCCTCTTACCTCCTTCCCTTGCATGTCGCCGTCGCCTCCTCACAATCGATCTCTCCCACAACCGCCTCCACATTGTCGATTGGGGCTTGGAAAGAGGCAGGGGAAGAAAGGGATTTTCTGGCCCGACTCACCTCTCTCTACATGGATGGAGTTAGAGGAACCAGCAACTGTGGCCGAGAGGCAATGAAGGGTGTTTTCTGGAACCACGATTTGAAAGAGTTAGAGGAAGAAGGAGATTGGGATGCGGTGGATAATGAGGAAGAGGAGCTACGATGGATTGCTGATGGCAAGTAGGGATGACAATTGGTCGGGTTGGGTTAGGTTTTGCCAAACCCAAACCCATGGGATTATCCGTGAAGAAAACCCGAGGTAAAACCCATTGGGTTTGGAAAACTCAAACCCAACCCAACCCGCTGGGTATTGTCACGACCTTACTCTCGATCGTGCGGCCCTAGCTCTCAATTCCGTTAGAGCGCTAGGCAGCCTTTCTCTCAACTCACTTGAAAGCAAAGAACAAGAACAAAGACAAAGGAAGTGGGAGAACTCTCTAGTGTGTATTACTCTCAAAAATGATGGAATGAGTTACAAGTGAGGGAGATGGCTCCTTATATAGGCCTCTCCTCATACAAGGCATCAATGCCCCTCATAATGTCTCTCTACTACATCAATACACCCCATAAAGTCCCCCCATAATGCACTCTATTAATACTACCATAATGTAGCCCATAAGTGCACCATTAAGTTCTCATTTAGGTGGAGAATCCTAGGAGCATCTCTATGCTACTAGTCTTCCATACATGCCACATGTGCAGCCGCCTTGTTGTCACCTTGTTGGCGCCATGTCATCGGCCACATGTGACATCCTCCCCCACCTATGCTCGCGACGCCCTCGTCGCGTCCTCTTGATGGAATGCCTCGATCAAGTCCTTGTTCTTCCAAAGCGTGAGCTCTTTCTCCCAAGTTGCTTCACTTTCCGGAAGGTTGCGCCACTTGACCAAGTACTCCACAAAGCTTGGATGTACGCCACGACGAGGAATGACACGACGCGCTATGACTTCTTCAACTTCATGGTCGTGTGTCTTGGTGATGAGTGTTGGAGCGCGCTGCGACTCTCTTCGTTGCTCATCATCCTTGTCTTCGTGGAAAGGCTTGAGTTGGCTCACATGAAAGACCGGATGGATCTCCAAGTGCGTCGGCAACTCAAGCTT